ACGCCAAAGGATGCTGACATGCGAGCAGATGAGGACGTGAGATCCGAATAAAAAGGCCCAATTCTCGCTTTGGACACGCACTAGGGCAATCGGAGGGAATTCGGGATTCAGGAGGCAGAAATCAGCCGAGAATTTCCACGTTGATGAGCCGGATTCATTTCGGTTGCGTGCCAAAGTCAACGGAAGGTGTGAAATGGAAGGCGTGTGGTGGGCATGTGTGTGGGTTTACGTGTGTGGGAGTGTGGTAGCGGCCGCCAAATGAAAGAGACGGCAGGAAGCAATACGAAACTTACAGTTGACATGAAGGACATCATTAGCAGTGGCACGGTCCTTGCCCTAACGGCCCAAACAGCCAGCTGTCATTTGGCACGGAAATTACGCATATCCTTTGAGAAATTGTTGCGGAAAACGAAATAATGAACTCAAAGCCCCAAAAGTTTGCCGAACAGATCCGAACGGACCGAGCTGACAAACTACTTGGCAACACTTGAGAATTGTGTGTACACCGGAATGACAAACTTTCCGCTAAGTAGGTGAGAGGACATGGCATGTGGAATGGGAGATCGAGGCCATTCGGGAATGCTGTGGGATTAGCCCGACCCATGTCGGTTGGTGAAGGCAAGCAGGCTTACGCTAATGTCATCAAATGACGTGTCACTCAGTCAGTCAAAAGGAAACCCGATAGCAATAGACTCGCTGCTTTACACACACGCATATCCTTTGGGCCCGATAAGGACGAGCTAGGACGAAATAAGCTTATGCAAAATTAAATCATTAAAATGCAAGACAGATGAAATTTTCTTAAACTGTTTTGCGCACGACTTGATGTCAAGTCACACATACCAATGCAAACACCACGCCCCCACACACACTCACTCATTCATACTCACACTCAGCCACACACATGTCTCGCGTGCTCATGCCTAAGTAGATATTTCATCGGATTTTCACAGCAGCCAAGATAAAAAACCAGAAAAGAACCAAAGATGGTGGCTAAAAACATCTAAGGTACCAACAATTTAAAGCTTTTCCGCATTGCAAAGCATCCTGGCGGGGTGAGTGCGTGCGTGGGTGAGGTTGTTTTTTCTTCCCTAATGGTTGGGGTCATGTTTTTGACCTGGTTGACATGAAAGCAGCTACCAGAAGGCAAGAATAACAAAAACACTTTCAGTCACATGTGCAAACGTGTGAGATATTTAAATTAAAGATGGCCAAGAAGATACGAAAATGTTAGGAAAATTCATAGATAAAAGTCATTAATAATTTTGAGAGATCGGGATTATTTTATTTCAAAAATTAAACCAAGCATTTAAATTAAAATTATTTAATATATATTGCGATACTAATTGGAAAATTATTTTTAATTTAATAGAGAAAAGGATAAAGATGGACTTATTATAATACTTTATAATACTAATTTTGTTTACGGACTTTTTCCCTTAACGTTTACCCTCCCATTTATATTGAAAATAAACTTCTTCTGCTCATGATTAATGCTGGGATTTGATGCTATTAATAAAGATATATATACATATTGAATAGAACCACACCCCCACTGTTGATTTTCCGGCGAACGTATGCTAAATGTCTGCTATTATGCTCAAGCCTGAGATGTGCTTAACTTGAGCCGCCCACCCTGAAATTTTTGTAAGGATTCCAGCTCCATCCCAGCTGTCTTACTCCTTCCACCGACTATGGAAAACAAGTGTATGTACGTGTTTCTTGCGAAAGCCCAGACATCGCAAAGCCACGACTAGGCAGTTGAGGAATTAAATTCTAGTTACGCCCGTGGAATTTAAAAATAGCAAACAATCGATGGAGGCAAAGTCGAAGGCGACGGCGAAGGATGGGTCTGAAGGATCCTTGGACGCGGTTCTTGAACGTGTTCAAATTGCCGAAACGCGTCGAAATTATGTTAATGCTATATGTACGTGTCCCGAAGGCGGCTAACAAATTGAATATATATTTAAGCTTTAAGCCGGGTAAGAGGCGGTTATTGGGACCACGTCATTCTTTAATCTATAATTTGGCATCTATATCTTTATTTTGGAGTGGCACGATGGTGGCAAAAAATGTTTGAGTTTCAAACAATTTGGCATCCCATTGTTTGCCTTTGTCATTCTTATATTATTTTATTATTTTTTCGTTGATATTTGATATATGGATGTGCGAGTGTATATGTATGCAAAGGGCTGCCTGCTTAACAATTCCTGTTCATCTTCTCTGTCACTTTTAATGAGTTTTTTGTGAAGGAAGAATTTTGCGCTCCCTCCGAATTCCGCACGAAACTTGTCGGCAACAATGTCAGCGAAATTGTCGCCGCTTCTGATAATCAGCCGACGTCCCTCCAAGTGGGCGTAGGCGTGGGCGTGGGCGTGGCCATGACGCATTGTCAGCATGATTATAATTTCCATTAAGGCAATTTTGTAAGCAAGCAAAGCAAGTCATATTGAACTAATTTACATCATAAGGCGAGAAGCAGTAAAGTCCAAAAGTCAAGTTCATTGAAGTAAGGGGCAGGGTGGAGGAAAAAGGATACTTTATTTTTGGTTTTTCTTTAATTATCATAAGTAAATTTGCAGTTCATAGGCGTCCTACTTGTTCAATTTTTTTCAACCATAATATAATGCAAAACAATATTTTAAAAGAAAGGCTGCTAACAGGGATTATATCAAGTATACGCCTCGTGTTCTTAAAAAAAAGTTTATTGACAGAATGTTTGAATTTAGCGATAAAATACTTATACTACAAATATTTTATTAAAGTTTTCTTGTTGAAATCTTTTAAAGATTTTTCAATCCCCATTCTCAAACATCTTTTATTTATTATTCACTTCTGTTGACAATAAACTAATTTTTATATGACCCAGGGAATCGTTTGGTCTTGAAGGAAATGTCCCTTGTTAGGGAATCGAAAACAAACTTTGCAACACTTCCGAATAAGACAGAAGTCGAGACAAAAGAAGTTGACACTAAAGACAGCACATCACACATTCGCCATGGGGGTTGCAGGACTCCAGCTGGGACTGAGTCCGGGAACTCGAATCAGGGTGGAATACGGGATGCGAGCATGTATGTAAATGATTTAGCTGTCCAAAAAGTTTTGTGGCGCCAACAACAACCGCAAAATGTGGCAAACGAACAAACTATGAAATATGCGAAGCATGTGCAGACAATTTGGTCATAACCTTTGACAAGCCATCCTTAGGATTGTGAGGGGGGCGTGGCCAAAAGGTAGGGATAAGTTTTGATGGAACGTAAGTTTTCAATTGCCGTGGCAGAGATGTGAAAAACGAGACATTGATGGCGGCAAACAAAGGGAAAGTGCTAAAAACAAAGCACTTTCAGATGGAAAACGAGATGTGACAAATCGGTTGAAAGCATCGGGAAATGGGAAGAGTATTTTGTGGATTTCCTGGAATTTACCGGCAAAAACTGCACTGTCACCTAACCTTGCTAATCATTCTAAGCCTCGGTATGAACTCTTCCATCATTCAAAGTTGCAAAGTGCGGTGGCGAAAGGATAAGAGTAGAACGGGTATTAAACGAGGTCGGGGATAGTTATAACGTTTTATTGCTGTTAGCTGCTGTGGCAGCATTTTAATTAAAATTAATGCGCCATAAGCTTTAAATTAATGCCACTTCTTCCTAGAGGCTCTTCGCCAAGCAACCATAAAAGGAGCATTATTGCATGAGTGTGGGCGGTTGTGGGTGGCCAGGGCCTTCCTAGAGGAACAACTACATATACCCATATAGTAGGGACTAACATGGCTTTGTTGTGGTGTTCTCTAGACCTTCTTTCCCTCATCCTGCTTCGCATACACATCGCATATATAAGGACTCAGATAGGATTCACGCATCCTGTTTTCGAGCTTGTGGGAATACCTAAACCGAAACAGGACTTTTCGTTCAAATCACCAAAGTAAATGCGACATAACAATTTGTCAAGGCGGCCAATTAGTTTATTTTATAGCAGTTTATAAGCGGAGGAATATGTAGATGAGAACTCGCATTTGAATTCCCATATGTACATACTTGCATATTTATTGAGATCCTGAATGCCTAGCCGAAAGGGTTACTTACCCTTGGGGTTAAGAGACATAAATATTGATCAGGTTTAATGACCCCATATTGTAGGGATTTTTACATTATTTATTTATATTTTAGCTTTTAAGACTCAGCCCTAACAAACCACAATATTTACGTCTCTAAATTCATACAAAAATATTGCAAAGTCCACAATTTCCAGTTCAAATAGTTCTATTTTATTTAAGCTCGTAAACAGATTGCAGATTCATATGTGTGTGTATCAATTCAACACAAAAGCATCGCATAACAGCACTGCGGATAAAGGATACACAAGGACAACCGAATGTGCATTGCATAATTTGCATAAATGCAGCAGGGAATTTAGCGTGTTTTGTTTAAAAATTACATAAACGCGAAATTGTGTTAGAACGGAATTACGGAAGCAAATTAAGTAAATGGAGAGTGCAACATGACAAGGGTCACCAGAGTTCTGACTACATGGGACAACTACCAGCATTGCAGACAAGTGATTGGCAGAAAGAACACGTTATCGATGTTCGTGATGGTTACAAAATCACTTTAGCAAATTAATTCTGATGCATGGACTACCCTGCCACTGGGATTAAGAGTGATTACAGAGAAGATTTTCAATTTGATGCCAAAAGAATTTAAAAAAAATTATACTTACATACGTAGTATCAATGTTATAACTTTGTAAAAATTGTAGTTTGGTATTTTTAATTAAAAGCGTTGTTTTGTACTTGAATTTTTTTAGTCTAGAAGCCTTTGATGGCCTTTATCCTTTATCAAAATTCACAATATTTATAAATGATTTTTTCATCGTAAGAGTTTAAAAAACCATGGATCGGATCATCTCAGAAAATTCTTTCACATTATACAAATAACATGCTTGTCAGTGAGAACAGTTTTCTACGGAGCTCGTAGAAAGATTAAACAAAAACACTGAACAACATGGCAGATACGGCGGACAAGGCTCAAAGGTGTGGTCAAGGACTCAAGAGTCGCAATTTATCGAAGCAGAGTCCCCAACAGCATCAAAAACTATTGAAGCCAGTACCGATCTTACCACACCAACATCCGCAGAAGCAGCTCCAGCAGAATATTCAGCAGGTGCCACAGCAGCAACCCGAACCAGATCATGCGAAGCTTCAAAAACTTTCAAAAATCCATCCGGTCATCCCACAAGAAGCAACCCACCAGCATCTCCAGAACCAGCCGCAGAAACCTCCTCAGAATCACCTCCAACAACAGTCGCAGAATCGGCAGCCGCAGCAACCGGACCACGCAAAAAATGAAAAAGTTTTAATTACACCACGGGTGCAATCGCAATCATCACCACGGAATCTGCAGCCGCAGTCCCAGCAGAAGCCAGAGGCGCAGCAGCAGACACAGCAGCAGGATCAAAAAAAGGAAAAAGATGTTGGTGATAATTCTAGTTACGTACAATCCGTTGGCAGTCGGAAGGATTTGGTAGGTCTGATTGTGGGTGGTAGATACCGAATTCGAAGCTGTATTGGCAATGGATCCTTTGGGGAGCTTTATAGGGCCATAAACCTCAGAAACGGCAATGAAGTGGCCGTGAAATTTGAGAGATCTACTGCAAAATATCAAATGCTGATGAACGAAGCCCGAATCTATCAGGTACTGCAGGGTGGCGTGGGCTTTCCTCGCATGCACCATAGAGGAACCGAGGGAGAACACAATGTGTTAGTTCTCGACTTGCTGGGACCCTCGCTGGAGGAACTCCTTAATTTCTGTTCTCGCAGCTTTTCTACAAAGACCATTTTATTGCTGGCGGACCAGATCTTGGACAGAGTGGAGTTCCTTCACATAAATTGCATCATCCATCGAGACATAAAGCCGGATAATTTCCTAATGGGCCTGGGACGGCATCGAACAGAGGTTTTTTTGATTGATTTTGGTCTCGCTAAGAAGTACTATAGTACACGAAGACATCAGCACATTGCCTACTCGGAGGACAACGATTTGGTGGGGACAGCTCGTTATTCCAGCATCCACTCCCATTATGCAGAGCAGAGTCGTCGGGATGATTTGGAAGCAGTGGGCTATATGTTCCTTTACTTACAACGGGGACATCTTCCCTGGCAAGGCATACGAGCACAGACACAGGCGCAAAAGCACGAAAGGATCGCAGAGTCTAAGGTATCCGTTCCTCTCAATGTCCTATGTTCAGGAGTGCCCATTGAATTTTACCTGTACCTTCACTATTGCCGAGGCCTTCGGTTTCAGGAAGAGCCGAACTACGGGTACTTGAGACATCTTTTCAAGAGCCTGTACCGGCTTAATTTTCTTCACTACGACTTTGTCTATGACTGGATGCGTCCATTGCGGGAGCGGAAGAGGCTGGAGCTGACTTTCAAGAAAAGAGAAAAGAAGGCAACCAAATGGTATCAACACTGGGATAAACCTCTAATAGCTTTCAAATATCCGAAGGTTATCAGACCAGTTATCAGATATAGAGCCAAAGAAAGGGAACAGAAAGAAAGGGATGTCGATAGAGATCGTGAAAGGAGCCACGGCAGGTCCATAGATGAGGATAGGTCTGAAGAAAGGAACAAAGGTATAATTATCCATAGATATAAACGTAGGGATAACGATATTGATAATCATTTTGAGAAAAAAAACCATAGAAATATAGACAAAAATCCAAATAAAAACTTAGAAAATGATAAAGATGGACTTAGATTTAGATATAGAAGTAGAGATAAAGAACCAGGCGTATATGAAGATAGGAATAGATGCAAATATATATGTAGAGAAGGAAATAGATCTGGAGATAAGGATGAATACAGGGAAACAGATAGATATACAAATAGAGAAAGAGAGAAAGTATCTAGAGAAAGAGATAACGAAATAGGTGGAGATAGATCACAAGACAGAGAAAGAGTTAGGAACCTTAAAAACGCTAGAAACACAGATTCTATGAGACACAGGGAAAGAAATAGAGAAATTGATAGAACTGCTGATAGAGACAGGGAAAAATGTAGAAATTGTGAAAGATATCCAAATAAAGAGAGTGAAAGATACAGGAAAGTATCTAGGGAAAAAGATAGAGATAGGGAGGAAGAAAAAGACAAGTATAGAGATAGGCAAAGATTCAAGCATAGACTTAGGGACAGGGATAGGGAAAGAGTAAGAAATCTTCATAGAGAAGAGAATAGCAGAGTTAGAACCAAGGATCGCAGGGCCTTCTCCTACGACTCTACAAGATATCCGAAGCCTTTGGGTGACCACCAAGTGATGATGCAGACCGAGCGTCGATAGATACCGCTGGCGCGCCGAAGTAAAAGGAATATCTAAGTTTAGATGTCGAATAATTAAAATTACTTTGTTCCTATGGTTGTGTGTGGCTGCATATTTGCCTTTGAGAACGTACGTGTGCGTATGTGTTGTTAATTAACTACCGAGCCACTTTATTTAGCATGACTTGGTCTGTTTACCCGCCACCTTCGATCTCCTTTCTTTGCGAAATCAATGGCTCGCATAATTGGCACCCAAGTTTGAAGCCAGCTGGAAACTTTGCAAACAACGGCGCGCCGCTAACTTTGTGCGATCCAATGTATGGAGAAACTGATACCTGTTACACAACTTTCATCCATATTTCACTCTTGTTGAGAGTCTGTAAAGCACTTATATTCAATTGTATAAAAATTGCATATTTCTTATGCTTAAACCTTCAATAAATTATTAAAGTAAAGTGTCCGTTATTTAGGTACAAGTTTCTATACTAGCTCAATGTCTTTCCTCGTTTGAATAAACACGGAATAGACTATCCTTGGAGCATTAAGTAGAACACATATTAATAAAGGGGTTAATTACAAGACCAGCTGAAACACGTTAGGAGGCCCCAACATCATGACTGGCGAGTGTGTGGGAATACATATTAAAGATTTCCTCGGTGGCTTCAAAGGAAATAAGGTCGGCCCAAGCCAAGCCAAAGTAGTTTGCTTAGTGGCGCTGCAATAATGTGGACTCCAGCCCAGCCAATCTCCTGCGCTCACATAGCCCAAAAACCCCGGACATACAGATGGTAAGTTAACTATTTTCCGGCCCAAAGCGATTTTTACCAAAAGCCCCGAATCCAGTTTCAGCCGAGATGAGGGACTTGCTTGTGAGTCTGCATAAATCTACAAATAACTTTCCTTTACTGAAAGAGCAACACAAAAACAAAAAATGAAAGCTAAGAATAGGACTTAACTGTGAATCCTTTTATAAAAATTTTTATAATAAGACTTTGAAATCTTTGAAGATATACTAATTTTAAAACTTAAACAAATATTCTAAAGCAACCACTAAATATTTTCCTAAGTGTACACCAAAAACCCTAGACATTGCCACGCCCATTTAACAGTCCCTCCCCCTAGCCCACCCCAAAAGTTGAGTTCTGGGAGCCTTGACTCCCACGCGATATCCTCTAGGCAACTTTCCTAAGAACTTGAATGCATGCCTAATGGCGGAAACCTCACACCACAAGCACAAGCACACACCAAACGCACACTCATACTTATACTCGTACCCACACCCACACACTTATACACTCATATGCCTTTCTATACACGTACACGAAGCGCTGAAGCGTAAAAATATTTGCGGGCTTTTGGCTTTGGCTTTGGCTCCGACTACGAGATTTTCCCTTCTCTGTGCGGCCTTCTCATTTCAAATTAAGTTAATTTTTTTTTCGTCGAACAAAATGGCTACAAATCTGTGTTTTATTTATAAGTGGCACTGACCGACTGAGCAGACACATTACGGATGGCTGCGGTCCTCCGCCTGGCCGCATGATGGGTCCTCGATGAACTTCGGTGACATTCAAATTGGGCAGTTAACGAAAATGATGCAATTTGTGGGTCAATGCCAAGTCCGAATATCAAGTGGACGAGAATATGGAATGGATATGTGAGAGGGTCCAATGGGAAATACTTATGAGCGCCCTAATGGAGAGTAACTTGAGTGTATGACCACAGGGCGTATGAGCAATATTGCGACATTGCGACTGTCTGAGCATCTGTAGAGTGTGTTTGAGGTTCAAGAGCCATTCGATTCGAAATGTTACGATTGCCATTCAACTTAACTACTTATGTATAATTACTTTTAATAAAAATACCCTAATATTATCGGGTTACCTTACTTAAATCCTTTACTGTAAAGGGACTTGGTTTAATTAAAAATAATTCTATATTAAGCCATTAAATGTTTGCCAGTTGATATAATTAAATTTTGTTACCTCTTTAAACAACTAGCTCACCATTTAGGAGGCCACATGTTTGTGCCTGGTGGCCAAAAATAAATTAAACAGCATAGCAATTAAACACTTTGCATATGTGGCGAAATATAAATTAATGTTTTAATTAAAATGTCTGGCCGAATCAAGAGTTTGTACAGCAGGAAATTGAGTTCCGTCTTGGCATAATAATTATTTTAGATTTAATTTAATGCCATTATGTATTATTAGTTCAATTGGTCTATTAGTTTTGCCAATCCACTATGATTATATGACAGAATTAATGCCTTTTTGAAGTGTTAGTGTAATTGCCTTCCTTAAATGAGACATTTCAAGTCGCAAACAAATTGGTATTTTTAAAATAGTCACCAGAATTTTCAACTGCACCAGCGGGTTGTCTCTGGCGTCATAAATTATTCAATTGAAAGTGTGTTAAAAATTCAGCATGAATTATTTACGTAAAATACGGGGGCAGTGTACACAAGTAGTTATATATGGCAATACAACCGTTGGGGCCTACTGATAAAGTCCAAAGGGGCTCGTGCCACATAAATTAAGCCATAAATTTGCCTTCACTCACAAGCAGAAACAAATACACAAATCACGGACACACACACAAGTGTGGGCAAGTTTCATTGCATAACTTTGTGCGACTTTGTGGCCATGTTGCCTATAGTTGGTGTAGTTGCTGTTGCTGATGTTGTAATAAATGTGTTGCCTGCACGGTCAGCACCAGCAGCTGTTGCTCCTTCTCATGCTGCTGACCCGGCCGTTGCAAATCAGTCAACATGGCAAATGATTACGATGGCCACACAGCGGCTGTGTGCCAGAGTCTGTCGATAAGCAGACGACAGGCCGCGTCACACGCGTCGTATGATTAATGCGTCTGCAACGGGCTTAATGCTTTTAAATACGCATAAATGATTGCAATTGCCCTCTCGTCAATGCGGCTTGTTGGCGTCCTTATCTCCATCCTGTTAATGTAGTTTAAATCGCATTACCCGCAATCTGGATCAGGCAACGAATTGAGTTCGGGGCCTCAAGACCCAAGCCGAGCCATTCATTTGATTAAGTGCATAATGCCCGGGAGATTTGCGAATTGCATTGCCATTGTATATGTGTGGAGAGTTCTGTCGCCATACAGCAAGATTTGTGACTGGATATAAGTGCATCTGCAAAATTGCTGGCATTCGAATAAATTAAGACTACATAAGAATGGGTGAACATGAACCAACCTTAAATATTTTATTTAAAGTTACAGTAAAGATTACTTGCATTTAAGTAAATTAAGTGATTTAAGTAAGCCTTTATAATTTCAGCTCTGAATCACCAGCAGAAAGCCCTCCCTATTAGTCAATAGAGTCTCTTTGGATCAGTTCCCTTGAGTGAACTTAATTTACGGGATACACAACATTTTGGCTTTGTGTGTGCCTAACTTATTAGCTAATTAGTTAAATATTTGCGGGCCTACATACAGTTAATATTCACTCCTAAATCATCACATAAACCCCTGGTATCAAGTGGCTTAAATAAGAAAATCAACTGCCGTTTGATTCGCTCAAGCGTCTTTGATTGATGCGCTAATTGAACATTTAGTCGGGAAGGCAAAGTAAATATTGATTTTATTGACACATCTATCAGGCTCATCGGCCACCAAATCAACGACAACAACAACGACGACGACGACAACAACAATAGTAACAACATTTGACAAAAGTTTGTGTAAAGTTTCTTTGTTGTTGTTAAGCTTGTTTCGTTTTATTTATTTATTTTACTCAGTGGCACCGCATTTTTTCCTCTTTGACAGAACGAGGGGGACAAAGTAACCGAGCCTGCCGCTTTCTGCCAGCGCTTTTGGTCCTTAGTCCTTGCCGCTTATTCCCTCGAAATTGCCTTGATATGTGTGAGTGTGTGTATGTGTGTTAGCGCGTTTGCCAAAGCGCCTGGCCATTAAACCAATTTTCAGGCAAACAAAAAGTGTGGACAGGGTATGAGAAAGGGCTAAGGGGAAAGTGAAAAGTGAAAGCAAAGGAAAAAACGAAAGCAAAAAAAGCAATAAACGCCCAAAGCAAAAAAGGAATTTTTTGCTTACGCGAATTAAAAAGGGTAACGCGAAATAGCGAGACTTCCAGAGGACTCGAACAGAGTCAAGGATCGAAATCAATTTCATTCTTTTACTTAAAAAGTTATTTTACCCACAAGAATTGATAGATTAACGATGGAAAAAAACTTTTTAAAAGTATAAAAAATTAAACAATAAAACAGTCATTCCAGGGTATAAGTTATTCCATTTAATTTATTTTGTTTTAACATGAACCGGCTTTTTTTTAAGTTTGACAAGAACGCACTTTGTTTTGTGTTTGTGGGACTCCGTTTTCTATTTGAAAGGATGACCCTTTTTAATTGCTCAAACATTTAGGCAGTTTCAATGCTTTTTCTACGAAGCAGTGCCCTTGCCAATAAAATGAAATGAAAGGCCAGGTGTTTGGGGGGAAATAGGGGATAGAACCATGCCATTTCCTTAAGCTGATTTTGGTCCTTTGTGTTGTTAATTGCCTTTGATTGCCACCCATCGATATCTTAAGCAATTAATTCTCCTCCGATATTCATTTCGGACATCCCTTTTTGTGTCGAAACTTAATTAAGAATTTTTGAAAATGAAGCATTTTGGTAAAGGTTTGATTCAACTCAAAATGGAACGCACTCTGTGCATATTTGTCCCAATAATGAGCTTTTGTGTCGCTAGTTTGACCGATGGCATTCATATTGAACGCAATGCAGCAGCTTAAAATGTTATACGATTGAAAGCTCTTTATAGGATTTGCTTCGGCACACAATGGATATTGGATAACAATTGTTTCAATTCGGATTATTTATCCCAATTCAGATGAGTTTTGAATAGCTGTAGCTCTTGTCATACTTCCTGAAAAGTTTTAAAAAAAGAGTACATAGTCTATTTTTAGTCTCTGTCTATTTTCACTTAATTTAATGCATCCTTTCGGGTTGTCTGGTTTCCATTTACAAATAGACTTTTTGGCTTCCT